GGCCATGTTGGCCCCGCCGTCGCTCAAGCCTGCGTCGCGCCTGCCCGCAAGCGGCAGGGCAACGTGGTCGTGCAGGGCGGGAATCCGACAGCCCCCGCCTCCAGGGCTCGTGCTCCTGGCGTCAATTCTGCTGCGCAATCTCGGACGGCGTTGGAGAAGGTGACCAAGGCCGCGGACGGCAAGAGGAAGAGGAATCCGGCTACAAACAAGCCGCCTCCTTCATCCTCGAACTCCATCCCGGAAAGAGGTGCCCCGGCGATGCCGTCCAACGGTGCTCTCCCCCCGCAAGCGAGGTGTTCGGCAAAATGGCCGGAAGGTATGCGTCTTCGTTCATGGTGCTTTCCTTTCGTTTTCGCCATTTTTTGCGATAGATCGTGACTTGTTATCGTTCAATATAGCGGTGGTTCAAATAATGCAACTGTCGAGTTCGTGGACTTATTGGACACCAATGCCGTTGACATTGATCAAGCCCTGTTCGCCGCATTCGACTACAATGAAACGGAGGCGGCGTGGATGATCATGGTTGTGAGGACGAATTGGCGAAGATCAAAGCGGAAGTGTTTGAGCAATCGCAATCAAAATCTGGGAAAAGCCAAAGATCGAAGAACTACACGATCTTGGAAGATCAAGCTTTGATCCAAGCATGGAGTGCAGTGTCTCTTGATGCATGCACGGGTACTTCTCAAACCGCCAAGAGATATTGGCAAAGGATCGAAGATCAGTACTTCCGCATTAGGGCAAAGTATCCCAATAGGACTCCACGCACATTTCGGTCGCTTCAAGGGCGTTGGGAGAACATCAAGCCTATGCGCAGCCGTTGGGCAGCTTGCTTGAAGCAAGTACGTAATGCACCTCCAAGTGGTACCGTGGAATCCGACTATGTGAGTTTGTTTTGCCTTTGTTCAAGTTGTGCATAATCATATTTGCATCATGAGAATTGATTACATCACTTTGTTCACATTGTGTAGGACAAGATTGCCCAACATAGATACAAAGACATGGAAGCTTCGAAAGGCAAATTCTTCAAACTAGAGCATTGTTGGAAGTTGCTCCAAAAGTGCGAGCAGTGGAAGTTGATCGACAAAAAATCCCCACCGAAAAGAGGCTCGCTTACAAACATGGATGAAGATGAGGATGATGATGGCCAAGAAATTTAAACAAGCCTGATGGCGACAAGAAGACTAAGGAGAAGATGAAGAGAGAGAGTAAGAAGCATCGAGCTTGAGGGAGAAGATTGATTACATGGTGCAATGAAATGAGTTGATGTTGTTGAAGTCATTGGAGATCAAGAAAGAGTTGGCCGAGAAGAAGGCAAAAAAGAAGCAAGAAAAGTGGCAATTGCACAAGGAAGAGGGGCTCCGTAAAGCTGCCATTAAGGAGAGAAGAGCACGCGCCGCTCAAAACAAATCCATGTCCTTGTTGCTCGCCGAAGAGAACAAGATCATGTCAATGAACCGCGATGACATGGATGACCTCACCAAAACATGGCATGATATGGCAAGGAGAGAAATCTTGAAGAGGAAAATGGTCGCGTCGGCCGGTCAGTGTTACAGTTCCGGAGATGTTTTCTCTGCTCCATATGCTGGCAACGTCGATGATTTCGGTGCGGGAGTTGGGACAAGCGCCGGAGGTGGTTTCGGTGGTGCCGATGAACTTTAAGATGGACTCGATGGCGCGGAGTGATGATCGACCAAGGTGATGCCGGACATGGCCGTAACTTTTGCAAGTCCCTCTTTTGCGTTTGTCATATTGAACTTGGTTTTTATTTGCGCATAAAACTGTGTTATGTTTGTTTGAATTTGAACTTATTTACGGGAAATTACGTCAAATGCGAGAATTAAGCGTTTTCTGTTTTCGGGTCGACGTGGCGGTGTCCGAACAAACCCCGCAAAAACCGACCCGTAAAAAAGTATATTCCGCGAATATCCTTTTATACGGGTCCGTTTGGGGGTTCTGCATCTGCGGCCGTCGGAGCCAGCCCGCAAAAGCGCGGTTTTCCCCGAACTGCAAACGTGTTTTGCGGGCCGGATGCGGGGTCTGCTAGAGTTGCTCTAACAACCTGAATTAGCGTTCTGCAATGCCCCAGCGTCAACATTTTCTCTTGGCCAACACCGTCTCAGGAGGTAACCACTGCTTCTGAACCTGAACTGCTGGCTCATGACTGTACTGTCTGTTTCTGAATCTTGGTCAGTTCTAGCGCCTCCAAGTACCGATTAATAAACCCAAACGCGGAGACGGGACTCTGAAGTCCGCCAAAACACGAGTAAAAACAGAGTGATTCAAAGCATCCGTTAGCCCAACCAACGATTGCCTGGCATCTTGAATCTCAATTAACGCCATTCATGCGTGCTGGAAACACGCATTCTGCACAGTTCCGGACGGGCTCATCAATCGAATTGGTTCTAAAAACTCCAATTCTTCAGGCAATTTCTTTCCTGTCTACTAGTACTACTCTACTACTTATCTTGCTACGGCATGTCGACCCTGTTCGTTTAGTTTACTGGCTGTCGCCGGCCGTGGACACGGCGGAGAGCCGGCTCGGTCGGGGACGGAATCCGCCCGCGCGCCTCCGGTGCTGCAGCGACTGCTGCGCCGCGGGGGACGGCGCGAGCGCCCTGCGTGCCCAGTGCCCGCTCCCTATGGGGACGAGCCGCGCCAGCGCGCCGCCCGTGCTCTTCGAGGTGGACGGCGGGGAAGGCGGGGAGGCGGGCCTGGTGCTGCTGCCGGCGGGGGCCGCCTGCTTGCGCTCCTTGTGGAGGCTGCAGCGGAAGGAGCCCGGGTGGTTCGTCGGGGAGCACATGCAGGAGGACCGACGGCTCCTGGTGGAGGGCGGGGACGAGACGCTGACGGACTTGCCCGGCGAGCGGGTGGCGCTGCCGGTGGCGAGCTTGACGCGGGTGGGCGAGGCGGAGCGGTAGCTCGGGGTCGACAGTACCGGGCCGCTGGGCCGAGTCGCGGTGGCCGTCGCCATGAGAGGGAGATTGGAGTGGTGGAGCAGTTGGATCTTGGATGGAGATTTTGGTGGTTTTGGAGAGTAGACTGAGAGGTGCGGGCTGGGCGGCATTTATATAGGCGGGAGGGGTATTCTGGTAACTTCATGGGTTGGGAACTTGGTTCGGTCGAGTTAACTAACTGGGGTTAATGGGCATAAAGCAGTGGGCCCGGACGGCTAGCACACCGGAATCGGTTTGGAATATTTTAGGACCGGTGTCAACTTTTTTTTTAGGACTGGCGCCAACTTGATTTGAATATTTTGATGAAATGCTGCGTGCTGTGCCCATCCAACGCTGTTGCTGTCAGAAAACCGGTTCCGCCACGCTGAAAGGACGGACCCAGAAAAAAGGAAGTTATTATCCTTTGAACGCTCTGAGCTAGGCAGGTGACGGTCAGGTTGGCACGACTAGGACCTGCACGACGTGACGCGCCGGCAGCCAGACGGCAGCGACCGGACGGACCCCAGCCACCGGCCGTGGGATTGCCCCCGCTTTGCTTGAAACGCGGCCGACCTCTGAACGGTTGACACAATGGAATCGGCATCGGCATCAGTCGCCGTAATCGCAGGGTCCATCGGTGCTCTCCGAATCCGTTCACTCGCGCCCATGGACGTTGGTTCCTTGATCCAGCCGATTCCGCCGCGAGATAACTGTTGCTACTGCTCTGCGTCTCGCTTCATTCGATTTTGGTCGACCGGACGATCGAACGTGTCCGTCTCTTTCACTGCCGCTCCCGCTCCGGCTCTCTTTCGCTCTCTCTTCCTCTTCCCGTCGTTTGATATTCGTTGTATCACTGTGAACGTCCGTCCCTGGCCACATGCATGCGGGCGCATATTCGTCGTGTACTATTGTGCAGTACTGTATGCTCTGTTTAACACACCGTGGACAGTTCTGGTGTTCCGCTTTTTTAACTCAGATGCGGATCTAGTGCTAAAAAGAGCAGCCCTGTTCATGTCATGTCCTGGCCGCGCACATGCGCGCGGTCACCACATCCCGACGCCGCGCGCAACGGCTACGCAGGACGCGGCACATAGTCGGCCGGCCTCGCTGCGTGCCACGGACACAGACTGGGAGGGTGCGTGACGACGGCCGGCCGCGCGCACATGGTCGACCTCGCTGCGTGCCATGGATTGGGAGGCTGCGTGGCGACGGCCGGCCGCGGCAGCTGGCGCACCGCGCACGCAGCGCTCTGGGGCGGGCGCTACTAGGGTTCATTTTGTTTACGTTTTCTGGCGACACCTTGTCGTTTGGATTCCGAACAGCTTGCTTAGCCGTGCCGACCCGGCCTGCCGTTGCCTGGCTCCATGCGCTGCACCACTCACGGCGGTTGACACATACATACCCTGATCACATGGCCTGCTGATAGACAGTTCCAAAGTCTAGATTCGTCTGTGTAGAACGCTGATCGATCTCCAATCATACCGAGCTTGGTGGTGGATCTTCAAATCGTGCTGCTTATTGTTGAACATATTCTTCGCCTGATTGCACGCAAATATATATATGATTGTATGTCCGGTATTGGAGAAATGATAAAATAGTATGGCATCATGTGCTCTGTTTCCAAGTTGGTCGTGGAACGACACCTCAAAAACAAAAGTTGATCGTGGAAAATCCAAAAAGGGACGACCTGATTAGTGCACCGGTCCGGGATTCGACCTGAAATGCAAGCCGAACCGGATGCCGCACTTAGAAGAATCTCATCGATATGTCTCGAAAGAGGTAGATCTTGCTAATCCATTTCGGCCAAAGCGCGCGCCGCATGTGTCAAATTGGTCTAAACCTGGCCCGACCCGATCCCGATATAGCGTGGTCTCCTGAGATGCACGTATAGTATGCAATCGGTGGTAAATCATCGTAGCTAGGCCTCTGGCTGTGCCACAACTGAAGCAAGCAAGATAAGACCGTGTACCTTAATCAGCACGGAGTGGCTAGATTTGGTAATGAAAGGCACGCAGACACTGGCGTGCGCAGTCGAGCCCCCGGCCAGTGCGGGCGTGCATGTACATGTGGCACGACGGAACTGGAAGTTTTGACGGCGACGTCATTCGATTGGCCGGTGCATTGCCCCTGGTTCCGGCAAGAGCCAAACGGAGCACCACGTGCCGACCGAACTGGCCGGTCGGCGAGGCAGTTATCCCGTCCTGGTCAGCTCCTACTCTGCTAGCTCGATCTTTTTTCTTTTTGATCGAAGAAGGGCTTGCCCCTTCCGATTTTCATTACTGAAAACCACATAATTTTACAAAGAGTTCGAAAGTAAACGAAAGAAACCAAACCGGACTCCAAAGGATCAAATAACTAACCGCCAGACCGAATTCAAACTATCCTGAGAGCCATTACATCAACGCAGAAGCAAAAGTAGCAAAAGTAGCAAGGAGCCAGGGATCATCTACAGGAACACCAAACATCAGGTTCACCCCCCGCAGAAGAGATTTTCTTCATTTCAATCTAGCAACATTGATCCTCCACCCTTGCTTGGCTGTGAACACTTCATTTGCTGCCTGTTCTAGCACCCTTGCTCCCAGCTCCAACGTTTTTCTTGGCGACTCCTTTATCTGCAAGATAGCCTAGTCAATTAACCACCTGCACATTAGCTTGACAACATATAAAGGATCATTTATCCTTTTTTCCTCAAAGATAATCGCATTTCTGCTTTTCCAAATTGACCAAAGCAGGGCTGAAATCCCCACCAGCACCAGTTTCTTATTATCTTTGTTAAATTTTCTAATCCAGTCTCCAAAATAATCTTTCGCACTAGATGGTACAGTTTTAAAACCACACACACATCTGACCAAACTCCACAGCAATGAAGCAACCGAGCAAGAAAAGAATAGATGATCAATTGATTCATCTTTCCCATATAAAACACATCTTTTCTCACCCTTCCAACCTTTTTTAAGCAGTACATCTCTAGTCAGGATGCTCTTTTTATTAATCAACCATAAAAACACTTTCAGTTTCGCAGGCACTTTAATCTTCCATAAGTATTTCTGTGGGAATTTTATCCCAACAGCTATCAATTTCCTATACAAGGACCCCACAGAGAATTTATGATCAGCAGTGAGGGTCCAGAGGATTTTGTCCTCCCCTCCTTGCATTTGAATTTCCTCACACCTTTTTTTGAGACTGTTCCAAAGTTCCACAGTCTCTCCATGCAGGGTTCTCCTAAATCTAAATCCATGCCAACCTTTCTGTATGGCCTCCTCCACCGTAATATTGTGGTCAAAGGATATATCATATAGTCTAGGGTAAGCCTCCCTCAAAGGTTTATCATCAACCCATGAGTCTTCCCAAAACCTAGTGTTTCTCCCATCCCCCACTTTTTTCTTTACAAATTTATAAAAGATTTCTTTGATTTTTAGAAGACTAACCCAGAATTGTGATGCTAGCTCGATCTATAGGTACCAACGTGACGTCGCTTTACCTACGTGCATGGACTCTACGCCATGCGCTGCCGGCAACCAATGAGAGCCGAGCACGTACCCTAGTGTTCCGATAGCAATTGTTTGTTGGGCACAGACAGAGGCCGGCTGTCGATTGATCGGGAACAGCAACCCATGCTGTGCAGTGCTGTCATTTTTTGAAGTCGGCCTCATAATTTTTCACCCTTTCATATTTCATTTACATTCGTGCCTGCATTATTTGGTCTCTCTTTGTAGTGCGAGTAGTTTAGAAGGCGGTCGGGTTGTCAAAGCTGGCCGAGGCGATTTATTTACTGCTGTTCGTGCCGACCATGAGCTCCTGGAACCTGCATTCCATGCATGTGGGCACGCTAATGACACGGCAGCTATGTAAATCACAAAAAATTACCACCAAACGATGTATACTGAACCTGGCACCAACCAGGTACACCCATATGTACGATTACTTAACCAGTTTTTTCGTCAGCAAAAGATCCAGAAATTTAATCGCGGCCCACGACGACATGGATCCACGACGTAACAGCGACAAGGAGAGGCACAGGGAAATTAAGCATTTGTCGCGGTTCCTGTCGCCAGGACCACACTGCGTGTAGATCAATTCAGCAAGTAATATGTGTCATTTCCCAATGAAATACTTGGGAGTGCCAGTCAGCTACTCGACTCTTCGTAATCTACACTGCAACTTTGCTGATGAAAGATTTCTTCGCTGCTGCGAGTCTTGGATAGGCAATGCGGCCTCCTCGGGAGGAAGGCTAATCCTCCTTAACTCCTCCCTTACTAGCATCATTTATTTCTATATGTCCACGTTCCTTCTGCCTAAGATGGTCATTGAAAAACTGGATAAACACCGTAAGTGCTTCTTTTGGCAACAACATGATGGACGCAAGAGATATCATCTTGTTAAATGGTCCAGAATATGTAGGTCCAAAAACAAAGGAGGTTTGGGGGTGAAAGACCTCCGAAAACAGAATGTTAGCCTACTCACCAAGTGGTGGTGGAAGCTTGAAACACAGCAAGGGCTGTGGCAAGAGGTGATCCGGGCAAAATATTTGAAAAAAGATATGGTAACCTCGGTCAAAAGCAAGTTTAGTGATTCCCCTATGTGGAAGGCTATTATGAAGGTTAAAGAATATTATTTAGTTGGACGAAAAGTGGTTATAAACTCGGACAACCTTGCCAGGGTGTGGAAAGATTCCTTAAATGATGAACCCCCTATGGAGCAGAAATACCCTGTGTTGTATAGCATTTGCAATAAGCAGGATATCACAGTTGATAAATTTAGAAGTCGTGTGGGGGATGATTTCTTCCGAAGACAACTACACCCATCATTGTTAGATCAACGGAATGAGCTTAAGGCAGAATAGCGATAGGTCGACATGTAAATTGGGATAAAAATTTCCGCATGCATCCGCCGTTCATGAGGATATCGGATTTTTCAGTTTCTGTTTAAGTAAAATCTTCTAGAAAGACCGGGCATACAAAACTTTCATGGGTGAATGCTCCTCTCGTAACACCTAGTTTCACTCCTAATCTCAATGAAAAGGCGGAACACCTGCCAGTTAGCCTAAAAAACACATTCATAGGTGATGAGTTTCTGACGGAAAACAATTCTCTGTCATCAAGCGAGCAGTGCGTAGCCTGTGCTGTGTATACGTGTGTCCAGTCTGATCTGAAATCTTACATTTTTATTCCGGAAACATTTACCCTAGTGCTAATTCTGAAACAGTTTTTCTTGATCTAGATGCACAAAGTCAGAAGTTCGGACCGTATCTCGCTCGGTTGACATTGCCCAGCCTACGGGTTATTAGCCATTCCAGGTCATCACTCATCATGTCTAGCTAAAGAAATTGACCGGTCCCCAAGTCCAAGACCCTGCGCCCAAGGGAAACGGAGCTCTGAACTTATAACTAGTGCAGAGAACCGGTGTTGCATGTCAAAAGGACACGATGGGCACATGCCAGTGCACACCACTGCCAAGTCAATTTCCAGTTCCAGCCCTCGATCTCTGAACTTATAACTTGTGCAAAGAACCGGTCCCCCAAAGAACAACATGGGGACATGCCAGTGCACACCGCTGCCAAGTCAATTCCCAGCAAAATCTTATCAGAGCATCTGCAAAACATCTACACCTACCACTGATTGCCCAGTTGAGGAGGCACTGAACTTCTCCAGGTTCCGTGCCAGGCAGATCTCGGAATAACTCCAGCCCGAGTGACTGTGTACTGACTCGATCGTGCCCTGGTGAGCAGGCAAGAGAGGACGACTTCCTTCCACAGCGCCGGGTGGTCGGCGTGCTCGACCGATTCCAGCCTCCGACGGTGCTCGGCCCGGGCATATATGTCGCGATCGGTTATTCCAACGGGTCATAAGTTCTTCCGTTGACTTGCTTGCCCGTCGTAGACGCTGACATCCAGAGCTTCCTCTGGTTCGCGAATGGCCGTCTGATTTCTAACGCGTTCGTTGGGGGTAGCATCAGTACCGTACCAACTGGATCGTCAGATATTCAACGAGTTCGTTAATTAAACTTGTGTACGTACTATACTACTCTCAGCAACTCCGCTTGGTTTCGTTTTGTCAGCTGTTCAACGCATCTACTCTGTGCTCATACAAAAACAATCAATTTTTTACCAGAAAGTTTGTAATGATAAATTTGAGTTATTTTTGAGGTTTTGTCGGGAACTCAGGATTCCGTTCGTTCATCTAAAAGGAGCACTGATATTTTTCGCGCTGCACTTGAAACAGATACAAGACCCAACTCAACTGACGTGCTACATTCCCTCAAAAAAAAAAAAAAAACTGACGTACTACATGGCGCCAATGCAAAAGGTGACAACTAACAAGAAGCTGGCCAGCTGTGCGCGCCCACAGATCTTCCAACATCTTCATCTTCTTCCGCAAGTCGAAGAGTTGGAGCGGGGGAGGCGAATCCTGTACGACCCGCTTGTGAGAGAGCATGTCGGAGGGTGGCCCACCTATCAGCCTCCCCATGCGGCCGGGTCGCATGTACGACCCGGTCGTACAGGATTATTTTGCTGGAGCGGGGATTTCCATTTGCTACGTCGTCCGTCGCGCCAACAGTAAAATACTACGTAAACCTCGTCGGAATCCACACACATACATAAACCTCGTCGGAATCGAGGGATTGCTCTCGTGCTCGAAGTTGCTGGCCTGATCTGTCCGGCTGGGGCCACGCACGGGAGCCGCATGACGGAGGAAGCGCCGGCGACACGCCACTCATCTCGCAGAGCTTATCCAAAACCAAAACAGGGGGCGGGACGCATCCACACTTCAGAAACTGAAACAGAAGAAAAAAGTTGTTGCGGCAAATCATCCATGATCCATGGATGGATAAACCTCCGGCACGGGACAGATTAGATGCATGTATGTGTCTCCAATTTGTCTCTCATGATTATCCATATCCAAAACCAGAGGGAGTTGTACACAGCGGAGCAGAGAGGACGAAGAGGCTCACTCTATGTGAATCTACGAGCTAGCTAATTAACCAGGCCGGAACCCAGAACTGGGTCTGAACTCCAATTCTTACTGGAACTTTTTCCTATCTACTTTATCTTGCTAATGGCATGTCGACGTTGGTTGGTTTGTCTACCGGTGGTTGTCGCCGGCGCGGTCGCCGGCCATGGACACAGCGGAGAGCCTGCTCGGACGGGGGCGCAACCCGCCCACGCGTTTCCGCTGCGCTGCGGGGGACGGCGCGAGCGCCCTGCGTGCCCAGTGCCCACTCTCCATGGGGACAAGCCGCACCAATGCGCTGCCCATCTGCTTCGAGCCGGCGCTGCCGATGGACGGCGGGCAGCCGGGCTTGCTGTTGCAAGATGGAGCCGCCTGCTTGCGGTCTTTGTGGAGGCTGCACCGGAAAGAGCCCGGGTGGTTCGTCGGGGAGCACATGCAGGACCGACGGCTCTTGCTGGCGGCACCGGCAGGGGCAGAGGAGGAGGACGAAATGCTGACGGACTTGCCCGGCGAGCGTGTAGCGCCACCGGCGGGGAGCTTGACGCGGGTGGGCGAGGCGGAGCGGTAGCTGGGAATCGACAGGACCGGGCCGCTGGGCCGCCTCGCCGTCGCCGTCGCCATGAGAGAATAGATCGAGGAGTGCAAACGTTGGAATCAGGTTGGACTGTTGGCGTAAACTGAAAAGACCGCGGCTTGGGCGCACTATATAGAGTTGGAGGGGTATTCTGGGGAGAGCAGAACCGGGGTTCGGGCATAAAGCAGTGGGCGTCTGAGCTGTGGGCCTAGACGGCAGCACGCCGGACCTGGTCTGGGTTCAAGGCAGTTAGGTCCACCCCCCAATATTTTAGGACTCATGCCAACTTATTTTGAATATCCTTTACTCTGAAATAAATCTTTGGAATATCAGTGTCAAAATCTGGTTTGTTTTGAAACTAGCATCCGGCTATTATGCAGGTAAAACCACAACAAAAATATACTCCCTCCGAACTACGGAGTAAAACCACGACAAGTATTATGAAACGGACGGAGTATTAACAAGTCATGTTTAAAAAAACTACTGTTCACCCACAAAAAAAATAGTGACGATTTCTCCCAGAAAGGAAAAAAAAATCATTCGAACGGCAGCAACAAATTGGGACACACAGTTGTTTCCGTGTGAAACGCATTGATCCATAAACTTTTGTCTATAGAGAAAGAGTCTTACTGAAGCATCAGCATTGATGGGACTTTGGCAATGTGGATCCTAAAACTGTGTCTAGCCCAGGTGCCGCCCATCGATTGTGGCAAGACCCATCTCATGTTTGTTGTCTATAAACCTACTAGTAAAAAAAGACCTAATGTGGGACACATTAGTCTCGGTTTAATTTTGGCCCAGTACTAATGATATCATTAGTTCCGGTTCAAACGGCTATGCATTAATGCCTGTTCGTATTGAATCTTTATTACCGCTTCGTGCCACGAACCGGTACTAAAGGGATGGTGGCAGGCTGGCGTCAGGACGGTGCCCCACGAGCCCCCTTAGTTCCGGTTCGTGGCACAAACCGGTACTACAGGGCTAACCTTTAGTACCGGTTTGTGCCACGAACCGGGACTAAAGGGGTTTGACCTATAGTCCCGGTTGGAAACACAAACCGGGACTAAAGGGCCCATTTTCAAACTCTACCTGCCCCCCCCCCCAATCGCCTTTTCAGTTTTGTAAAAAGCAAAAGAAAATGATAAAAACTTCAAAAATTAAAATCCTTCAAGATGCAGTTATGTTACTACATCTACTAGTTAGGAAAATTAAAAAACTTAAATTTGGACATGTTTTGCAAAAAAATGTTATGAAAATGTAAAACGGCCATATCTTTTGCACACGATGTCGAAAAAAAGGATAATATATCAAAAAAATCAGAACAAAAATCCGCATCCGATTTTAACCGCATACGGCATGTTTGCAATTTTTTAGAATCCTCAAATTCTAAAAGGAAAAAAAGATATGCTTAAATTTCAGTTTTTTTAATTTTTGTTAAATCTGGTCAAAATGTGGTCAAACTATGGTCAAACTAATTATTCAAGAAATATTAGTGTTAATAAATAATTGTTTTAGTTTTTTTACTTTTGGTCAAACTATGGTCAAATCTGGTCAAACTACTTATTCAAGAAATATTTCGGTTATTAAACAATAATTATTTTTAGAATAATAGTTTCAAACTAAAACGGTGAAACATGTGACTTAATGCTCAAGCTAAATTCCTGAGGGTTCATAGGATTGACAGCTTACTATTGTCAGGTAAACAACACGTGAAGACTTGGAAACTAGGGGGAATAGAACTCGGAAGTTAAGCGTGCTTAGGCTGGAGTAGCGAGAGGATGGGTAAAATTAGACGATTTAGAATGATGAGGGGTGATTAGAGCAATGATGAGCGGTGATTAGAGACAAAATCGTCAAATAATTCAGAAATTTGAAAACCGAAAAAAAATTCAATTTTTTTTCAAAAAAAATAAAAAAAATCAAAAAAATTGTCCCTTAGTACCGGTTGGTGTTACCAACCGGTACTAAAGGTCCCCCAGACCACCGCGCGGGCTCGTGCCACGTGGTGGGCCTTTGGTCCCGGTTCGTGCAGAACCGGTACTAAAGGGGGGACCTTTAGTCCCCACCCTTTAGTGCCGCTTATAGAACCGGGACTAAAGGCCCTTACGAACCGGTGCTATAGCCCGATTCTGCACTAGTGACCATTTCCGGCACACTGAAAGGCCGGACCCAGGAAAAAGAAGTTATCATGAAACTTTCAAACATAGACACAGAATGGTCAGTCAGGTTGTCACGAGTAGGACCTCACCGACGTGACGCGGCAACAGCCAGCAGCTGCCGGCCGTGGCATCGCCCCGCTTCGCTTGAAACATGGCCAACCTCTGAACGTTCGACACAGTGGCATCGGCGACATCTCAGTCGCCGTAATGGCTGCGCCCATCAACACCGAACCTGTTTACTCGCACCCATGTTGGTTCGTGGAGTCCATGAGAAGGAAGGGATCATGAAGCCGGTCGGCGATGTGTATGTGAAGGATCGCATCCACGAGCGCGTCGTGACCCGGCCGGTTCCACCGCGATAACATGCTCCCATCGCTGCACTACTCTCCGCCTCTGATCGCTTCCGTCGATTCAGGTCGACCGGACGATCGAACGATTTTTTTTTGGCGAGATGAAATTCCGATCTATTCATCTTCAATCATGGTAGTACAATGGACATAAGAAATAATAAAAATTACATCCAGATCCGTAGACCACCTAGCGACGACTACAAGCACTGAAGCGGGCCGAAGGCATGCCGCTGTCATCGCCCCTCCCTCGACAAAGCCGTGTAAAACGATATGGGAAGCGTTAAACCCTTTGCTCGGGCCGCATTGCATTATATAGAACTTGTGCTGTGGCATACAAGATTAGATCGAGGCTAGATCGATCTGTTACAGAGAGATATTCGGGAGAGGTTGAAATAGAAGAAGAGATAGAATAGGTTTACAATTCAAAGAGAATTCTATCCCTATACAACAACTAATTCTAACACTCCCCCTCAATCTAAACCTCATGAAGCTTTGCCAAGGTTGAGATTGTACTTGAACTCATCTAGCCTTCTCATAGTAAGTGGTTTTGTGAAGCCATCAGCAAGTTGATCTCCTGTAGGTATGAACCGAATGTCAAGTAGCTTCGAGCTACTCTTTCTCTGACAAAGTGAAAATCAACTTCAATATGTTTGATACGTGCATGGAAAACAGGATTGGCTGAAAGGTAGGTAGCACCAATGTTATCACACCATAACCTAGCAGCTTGTGGAGCCTTAATACGAAGCTCATAAAGTAAAGTCTGTATCCACATTACTTCAGCTGTTGCATTTGCCAAAGCTTTATACTCAGTCTCAGTGCTTGACCTTGAAACTGTAGCCTGTTTTCTTGCACTCCATGATACAAGATTTGTTCCCAGAAACACAGCAAAACCACCTGTGGACCTTCTGTCATCAGGACAACCTGCCCAATCTGCATCAGAATATGCAGTAACAAGCATGGATGATGATCTGGTAATATGAAGCCCAAGTCCCTCTGAGAACTTAAGATACCTCAAAATTCTCTTGACTGCAGTCCAATGAGTAGTTCTAGGTGCATGTAAATATTGACATACTTTATTCACAGAATAAGAAATGTCAGGTCGTGTAAGAGTCAAATATTGTAAAGCACCTACAACACTTCTATAATTTGTTGCATCTTCTGGTCCAAGCACTTCTCCACTTTCAATTGTAAGTTTTCTGAGGTTGAGATTGGTGTACTCACAGGTTTACAATGTTCCAATCCCACTCTCCTGAGAATATCAGTGGTATATTTGTCTTGTGTGAGAAGTATGCCATCTTTTACTTGTTTAACCTCTATACCAAGAAAGTAGTGAAGGTCACCTAGATCCTTAAGAGCAAACTCCAGTTTCAGATCCTTAAGCAGACAAGTGGTGGCATCTGAGCTTGAACTAGCAACAATTATATCATCAACATAAACAAGCACAAATATGGTGGTATTGCCTTTATTGTAAAAGAACAAAGAGGTATCTGCTTTTGATGGTGTAAACCCAAGTTGTTGTAACTGCATATGCTCAATCTTGAGTACCAAGCTCTAGGGGCCTGTTTCAAACCATATAAAGCTTTACCCAACTTACAGATATAATGTGGTGTGCTTTGATTTTCATATCCTGGTGGTTGCCGCATGAACATTTCTTCCTCAAGAACACCATGAAGAAACGTGTTCTGAACATCTAGCTGCCGTAGACTCCAACCTCTGGAAATAGCAATAGACAACACAAGCCGAATAGTAGCCTCCTTAACAACAGGACTAAAGGTATCTTCATAATCAATGCCAAACCTTTGTTTAAATCCCTTAGCAACTAATCTAGCTTTGTACCTGTCTATACTTCCATCAGATTTTCTCTTGATCTTGTACACCCACTTACAATCTATAACATTATTTCCCTTCCTTGATGGTACTAAATGCCAAGTTTTGTTTTTCATGAGTGCATTGTATTCACTATCCATAGTCTCCTTCCATTCTTTATGGTTAAGTGCATCATGCAAGTGGGTTGGTTCACCAAAACTACTAAGAAAAGCTCTTTTAACCCTGTCATACCTTACGGTGCCATCAGTATATTCTTTTGCCTTGATAATACCTGATTGAGATCGAGTGTGACGACGAGGAGCTGCTGCTGGTGAAGTTTGCACAGAAGATCCGGGCGTGATAGTCGCTGTTGGTTGCGCCACAGAAGATCCCGCGAGACCAGCTGCAGACGAGACAGCTGCACGTTCCCGATCCGGCTCCCGATCCAAGGCGGATCTCGACCCAGGCGCGCCAGGCGTCCCGCTGGCCGTTGTAGAGTCGGCCCACGGGCTGGTGGCTCGAGGGGATTCGCCCCCGTCCACTCCTGACGAGGTGGGCTCAGCATCGGGCCCCACGGTGCCAGGATTGTCGGCCACCAGCGCGCCTGAAGTGGTGGGCTCCATGCGGTCTGGCCCGTCAGCCGCCCAAACGCGATTGGCTGCATGCGAGCGACCGCAATCGTCCTCGAACCGCGCGGCGCTGGAGACAGCAGAACTGGCGCGAGGATCTGCC